CTCTTAAAATATGCATCCATGCTATTGGAAAATCCCCAGTAATTTTACACAAATGAGACAGCTATTTCTTTTCATGTTAGACTTATCATACTGGCAGCTAATTTTCTTTAACAAGACAAGGAACATTGAATCTAGGACTTCAAAACCAAGACAAAATATCAGTTGGTTTCTATAGGACATTTGTGAGAGTAAAGAAGCATTGTCAGAAATACAAAATGGTCATTTTTATCTTTAACTTTTAGAAAGCCAATGTTTCAATCTTTATCAGTGGACCTCAGATGTCATTCATAACTGTCTTGCTGATTTGAACGTACATGTAATTTACATAGATATAGTAAAGGTCTTTCACTCTCAGCAATATTTTATACTATTATTGTCAGCTTGATATATTCCTTGAAGATATGGTGAAGATAAGAATGGAGAGAAAGGAAATGAGGAGCAAGTAAGTCTGTTAAATGTCACCATTGAGCAAAGGACCTCTGTGTGGTCCACTGATATATATATATATACTAATTCCTAACGTATTGATGCAGAAGCACAACCTGGGAACACCAGTGAAAATGAAGGGATGGATTCGCACAGAGAGGATCCACCTTCCATTGGGTTGAGCCATCAGTAGCAAATTGTAGGCTTACCTTTATTCCAATAGTTTGTTTGTCTGCTTATTATCAACTTGTGTGGCACCTCAGTCACAAAGTAACTCTAGTTGCTTCCAAAAATGTAGATGGCTGCTATTCATCCCCTGTGGACATGATTGTAATGAGGAAAAAAATCAGTCTCACTAAAGAAATCTGCCTAGCAAAAGCATGGACGAGATGTACTAGAATAGTATGAGATTATTTACTTGTAAAAATAGCTTGCATCTGAACAGGCCTTGTGTCTGCTTCATAGTACAGGAGGGGACATCTACTTTAACAAAATAATTCTGCTCTTTCACTGGAGAGAGAGAGAGAGAAGATGATATTGTGATTCTTATGTTTGTCACAGGAGGCTCTGCTTGAAACTGAATTGGCTTTGTTGAAAACAGAGATAATATTCCCAGATGAAAAATGAACAATAGTCCTGGGACTTTGAGTTTGAAGTAAAGAGGGCCAAGAAAATAACAGAATACAACAAGAAACAATGCCCCCACCAATTATTGTTATTCTAATATCGCTTTCCTTCTCAAAAAAAAAAAAAAAAAAGAGGAGTATACAGCACTGTGGTCCAAACCCAGCAGGAGTTAAATCTTACTACTGATTGTGTCGCCCATCTCTGCTATGTTCCAGTGAATGAACATGAATTACATTTGCAGAGAAATTGGGAGAAATGTAAGCAGTCTGCAGGGAAGAATAGAAACACAAGTTAAAGGCTGCACATTTAAAATATTGATAATGCAAATGGGCAGGTGTTTAAACCCACTGAATTTCAAATATTTATGTATGCAAGGGGACAAAATCTAATATTAAGAAAAATGTATTAAAAGTTGCCAAAGGCACTTTTCTTCATTAGCAAAGCTGAACACCCACAGATAAAGCAGTCTATGCTCTTGTCCAGAATGTATCTGTGCATTAGTTGACAGAGTCTGCAAATGCTGCCTGGATTAGAATGTGTCTGCTTTTCAGAAGAGATCAAATTGTTTCCAGACCATCTGTTTAAAACGAGATGTTCTTCATGAGATGAGAGATGTATCCCTCCCCATACTCTTTCTCATCCAGGATTATAGTACATTCTTTTATCTCAGGATCAACCATACAAAGTCACATCATTTTCTCTCATCCTAAATTCTTTTTCTCACAAACCTATCATCCATCCATCCATCCATCCATCCATCCATCCATCCATCCTTATCTATCCTCATCTATAAACATACCCCCATATCCTTCTTATGCCCCAAATTTATTGCTCCCTAATCCCTCTGCTTTTGATGGCTCTCCCAGCACTCCTTCCATGAAGCTTGCCTGGCAGCAAGATCACGTTTACTTTTTTCAAACATTTTAAGCAGGGCATTCTGTGTTCTTCAAGGGAAAGCTCCAGCAGTCTACTACCTTCATTTCTGAACAATGTCTCAGGACTTTTCTTTGTAGCACTTGGTTTTGTGCAAGCCCAGCCAACCCAATACATACAGCACAACACAAAACCAAACAACTCAATGCAACATTGTGTTAATCTGATATAGTGGCTTTCTATACCACATGTTGAACATTAAACACTTGCACTGTGACTTATGATGCCATGGAATGCTTCCATGATTTGTTCAGTAATACAGATCTAGAGTTTTCTGATTTAAATGCAATGAAGAATTAATGCAAGCTAAATACTTCATGCCATATCACTGTGCAGCAGAGTCCAGAGAACAGAAAGGGAAGACCATGCAGCTATTGTGCCCATCCATGTTTTCATAAATCAGAGGAGTTCTAGAAACCAAGATGCAGCCACTGAAAAGGCCCTCTTCCCTTATTCCAACTACCTTGATCTCAGGGCAGATAAGACACAGAGGACCTCCAAAGATGATCTCAATAGCTAGCTGAACATTGTATGCGCTGTTTGGAAGCAACCAAGAGCATTTGATACTAATTATATCAAGAGGAGATATTAGGAACCACATTTGATACAAAAACTTTGTTCCATTAAATTTAATTGTGGCTTTATAGTAATTTTTGTGAGCTATGATTCTTTCTCTTCTCCTGCTACAAACAATCATTGTGCCACTCTAATGAATGGTTCTTCAATAGATTAGATCAGTGCTCATTTTGCCCCCAAATTAGGTCTATGCATGCTATGGAAACAGCATCTACATAGTGAATTTGTTCTCTGACATTGATACAAATATGATTGATCTACTATTTTCTTTTGATTTTAAAAATTGTCCCTGGTATGACTGGCAGACACATTTCAGACACATTTCTCTGGCAGAAAAGGGGGGAGATGTGAAAGATTTTGTGCTTTCAAAGAATGACCTTTCCTGATAATTAATTTGCTGTTCCCAACACCATCTGCTGTCTCACAGCCACATCCATCATAGCTGTAAAAAATTAAAACTCAATTAAAATGAAAACTAGTGTCACAAATTTGTCAGAGGAAGATACAAACTTCTTAGGAGCAAAATTATTTGGCCCTTCTTGGAGGTTTACAGCTGTGCCCATTTCATAAGACTTGCAATAAACCACAATAAATGCAAAAGGCTCTGGGGAGCGCCTTGACTACCAACACATTTTTAGAGAGTGTTTTATGTCAAACATCAACTTATTGACTGGGATGATAGATGGAAACTGGTCATAAAACGTGGGTGAAATTCCACAGTTGGACTTGTTTGATCTGGACCATTGTCAGCCATCACAGAAGAGGCAAATAATTTTTACAGTACTAACTGAAATTTCTCAGAGGACATTTTGTTTGCAATTGTTTCTAAGTTTTTTCTTTTCTCCATCTTTTACCAAAGATTGCAGGATATTCTCTACTATTTTTAAAATATGCCTTATATGCAGTGGGCCCCATTTTCCCTTCTCAGTATTTTGGAATGACTGAGGCATTGTATAAGATGCAACATGCTGAGCAGACTGCCAAAATAATTGCTCTAGATGAGGTTTGCAGCAGAAGCACAAAAAGTAAATCAGGTCTTACATTCTGCTACCATTTCTAATGGTGAACCACACCCCCAAAATTGTTTGAGAATTTCTCAAGAAATTAGCTGACATGGCCACCCCAGTTTCTCTGCCCATAAACAGAGCGGACTGGAGAATTTCAAGAGACCATTTGCAATGTAAAGTTCATCCATCGTTCTTAAAAATATATCCTTCTGGGTATTTTTTCCCTTAATTCTAATGCTCTGTCTAGGATTTTCAGGTAAGTAGTCTTACACGTTACAGAGACTGTTCCCAGCATCTGTCATGAAGTTTGTCAGTGCTGTGTGCTGCCCACGTTCAATGACAAAATGCAGCCCCATCCATTTTCAGCGCCAACTTAGGAAGGTTAGACTAGCCGTATCAAATGGCTTTCCATGTTGTCTACAGCTGTCTAAAGGAAGTATGTTTCCTTCATGCTTGGAAGCAAATCAGGACTGCATATACATGCTTAGACTAATGAAAGGAATAAATCAGATACAAAAACTTCCAGATTTGGCCTTAAAATTATGAATGTAGATTATGAATGAAAATCTGAAGTAAAGATCTAGAGCCAGCCTTTTACATGTAACTTATCATACATATATAGGTATGGCAAATTGAACAGAAATAGTCAAGAATAAATTAAATGCATACCTGGACAACATCAATATATTCCTTGTGATATACAGAATTAAAGATGTCTACAGTATATGGCATCTTCTACCCTGGGCAATAATTTGAGACATCATTTATGACAGCAGTAAAGATCTGACTTGTAGAATCTCAGTGTTCACATAATTACAGTGTGACACCTTATTTTTAATATCAAAAATATGGATAAATGATGGGATATACTTAAAAGCTATAATTTTCTACAGTGCATGCAAATTGATAAACATGTAAATGCCTGCTTTTTAAAAAAGGTTATATTATCTTCATGAGATTTTGTACAATTTAAGAGAGAGAGAAACCTGACATGTACAGTAATTTGGGAGTAAAGTTAAACCCTTAACCATGAAACCAGCTGACATAAAATTAAGAGTATTAGTGATAAAATTCATGGAAGATGTTTGCAACTTATATCAGGACGTTTCAATTCTGATGATGTTGGGCATGTTTATAGCCTACAGTTATAAAGATAAGTTGATTATGTTATGGGGAGAGGAGGAGGAGGAGAAGACAGAATGGAAATACAGCTCAGAACGTATTTCCATTTCAGAGTGGCAGCAATCAATGCAATCCTTAGAAACTCAGATTTTTTTATCAAACCCAGCTAAACAGGCAGTTCCATATTCCTATGTATCCAATCTCCCCAGACTCCTCAAGGGCCATGGGTGCCAACAAGAACAGTTGTTGATGTCATGAGGTGCTAACAGAGAGTATAAAAAAGCTCTGCAAGAATTGGTTGTAGAGGAGACGAAATCTCCAATATACCAACTGCAAAGAAGATAACACCTTCATTAGGTAAGCATTCTATACATTCATTTCTACGCTGGAAAACTTTTCAGTAAGACACCAATGTTTGATTTTCTCCCATCTCTCCTTATATGAATATTGTGTACTGTTTTGGGGGCCAGATTCAAACAGCATGCTAAAATTACAGTAGACCTAAGTTCAAACCCATTTGTCCATCCCATAACACTCTTGTGTGTGTATCTGACAAAGTAAATCTTTGCCTATAAAATCTGATGCCATATTAACTAATATTTGATTATCGAAAATCTCGAAATAGTTGATATGAGTCAAGGCCAAGGAAAGAGTGATGTTTGCCATGCAGTTTGCTTCTCTTATAGTTTATTTTTGTTTAACAAATAGCTGGCTTGGGGACCTGTAACCCCCTGCTACGGTCTTTTGAATTGGAACCTTTTCTCCATATGTGCCTGCTGCTCACTAAGGAAAGAAACCTCCTTAGTTTCTTCCATTACAACAAGCAGAGGGGGAAAATTCTGATCTGGATCATGGTGGGATCAAAGAACCACAAGTGTACCAACTATTGCTTGGAGAAATATCAGCCAGGCTGATATTTCTCCAAGCAAGGAGTCTATGAATATTTAAAGGACAAATAAAAAGCAAAAATATGTGTGGCAAATACAACACCTTGTTGGTTCTCTCCAGACTGACAGAATAGTAGAGTCAAAAGCAAATGTTGAAGCAAGACAGAAAGTTTTTCTTGAGCTTTTGTCTGTCTTGGTATTGTTTTCTCACTCACTCTGTACTAAATGATGAGAAAAGAAGACAGTGAAAGTGGATCAACCCCCCAAGATGCCAATTTGGACTCTTCTGTTTTAGAAGCATTGCTAATTTACAAAGAGGAAACACACTCTGTTTGCTTTGGAAGGCACCTGGCTGGAGTAGGAAAGATGTGCCCAGGTAGCCAAGCAAAGAAGGGGCATTCAGTGATGTAGCCAGTCAGACAAAAGGAAACTGGAAAACTTTTCTTGCCCTAGCAGAGAAATCACAAGGCAAATCCAGAGCAAGGAAAAGAGGTTAATCAGTTTTGGGCCCTGCCAAGATGACAGATGTAATAATACAAAGTACATTTGTGCATAAGTAGGTATCACTGTTCAAAACAGGAAGCAGATTGTATTATATAGTTATGGGTATCCCCTTCTTAGTCATGGCAAACCAGAAACCTACACTTCACTCAGCTTTATGGTACAGTTGGTTCAAACCAAGATCCAGAATTTCACTCTGGGGCTCTGACACCCATTTGCAGGCATATAAGAGCTGGGGCTTATTTTATGTTTTGTTTTGTTTTGATTTGATTTGATTCGATTTGATTTTACCTCATAGAAAGTAACGCTTTTGCCTATACTCTGATTCAGGAAGCCCTATTTGCAGGCCATGGGTCAGAGTGGGTGACTGGCCCCTTGTATAATGTTCTTGTTTTTCTAAATGGTTGTTGGTTCTTTCTGGACATTTGACATGTGTGGTGTTTTTATTGTATTTTAACTGTTTAACAGAGTTGTAACAGATTGGGGTGCCCTAAACATCTGATAAATAAATAAATTGGATATTTTCCAGTTTCTGAAAACTGTGTCCATGAAAACTAGGATCAGGCAAATATGCCAGAGAATAGTAACAAAAAGTATTAATGTTGAGCTAAAAAGAATAGTCCTGAATTACTAAGTGTTTCTGAAAAGATAAATAAAGCCAATTTATTCTGTAGATATTTAAGATACAGCTTATTTGTTATGCTTAAAAGGCTGATGGGCCAATAGTTAGCAGGCAACTCCCACCTACACTTTTTATAGATGGACATTATAATGGCTAGATTCCAGTCCTTTGATATTTCTGTGAATTCTAAAATTCTGTGAATTCTAAAATTCATCAATTTAGGTGAACAAGGAAGCAAGTACAGGAGTCCTGTATCTAATTATTCAGGTATAGAACAGTAATCCCTGTCACATATGGGTCTCATAAGCTTCTCAGATCCAATCTGTGCTCTTGTGCAAAGTCACCACAGTAGATTAAATATACAGTAGTCCAAAATTTCTTGCACTAATATCTCAACCAAAGCACCCTTGGTCTTTGAAATGTGTGAAATCAAGGTACTTGGATACAATACATTCTGTGGATTTTGAATGCACTGTAAGCCCACACCCAGTTATACATATTGTAGAAATACTATGTATGTGACATATTTAATGCCTTTTCCTCTACCATAGCCTAGGTACTAAGAACATTGGTTTCAGAATCTGCACAGTTTTATTAGTACATGAAGGCTTGATTGGAACTAAATCTGGCCCAAGAGCAGTATCCAAATAACGGTGAAAGTACTTTTTAAAAAATTAATTAACTCTCAGGAATAAAGCTTCTAAGTACTTGGACCACACTTCATTAAGTTTGTTCATGAAAGAACATTTAATAATTAAAACAATTCTGAAAAGTTTACATAATTTTTTCCCTGCGATGCAGTATTGCTGTCCAGTCATGATAAAAACTAGTTTACAATGGTCCCTTAAACTGAGGCTCCTATAGGAGTAACAAACCATGTTCTTAGCAGTATAGCCTATCAAGGTTTATTAAGCACACTATTGGAAATTGACCAGATGAGGTTTTTAGGTTTCATAGATTAGGGACTGTGCCACAGCTGTCTGATTCTTTTCATCCCTCTGTCAAACTTACGGAAGGAAGACTTGAAAAGATAATAATAACAACAATAACAGAATAGCCATCTGTTTTCCTGCCAAAATTAGAACTTTTTTTCTCATCAGGGGATGAATGATAAGAAGAATGAAATACGCGAATCCATCCTGCAAAGTTCTCCATTTAAATATCCTCAAATATAGCTATAAAACTACAATAAAGTTTTCATTTTAGCAACACTGAAAGGCAGTTTCAAATGCCTTGGAACTCAGTTATAAATGTGGTTATTTTTTAGTAACAATTCAGTGGTATCAGTTAGAAAAGGAATCTGCAAGACCCTCAGTCTTTATTTCATCAGAGAACAACGTAATATTAGAGACGAGAACACGGCCTCTAATCTCTTGTCCCAACTACAGGCAATGGATCGATTCATCTATGTAAGGGACAATTTGCACGCCTTCCTTTCTCATCTCCTTGAGTCCTCCAATTCCCTGATTACTAGGTTTGGCACATCATAGTTTGTTTCTCTGAACTGTGAGAAATTATGCTTCATGCTTGCCCACCAAGCTGTTTGAAATGGCTTCCAATTCTGGTCTGGAGGGCAAACATAAAACATAAACTAGGTTTACACAACACATTGAACCATAATGTGAATTAATGTGATATGTGAGCTAAATAACAGTTTGCTGATTTGGATATAATAACAACCAACCATTTGCCTGCATCTAGAAATGAACAGGGAACTTGAACATTGAAGCTGGAGAGGGATGAAGTCCACATGCAAGCCTAAGGACAGCCGCAATCTAGTTTAGAATTCCGTGTGAACTATGCCATGCTGGAATCACATATTTCACTAAGCCATTATGTGATTTGTTTGATTGTGGATTAATGGGATGTGTTAACTCAAACACTGTGGTTCGTAAAGCATGGTTTATAGCTTAGCAGTAAATGTGAGCTAGGCCACTATGTTTTGTTAAGCAAACGATGATTAAAAATAACTCAGAATGATGTGAGAACCCAGGGGTTAGTCTTCTGCTTAATCTAACCATTCATAGGCATTCCCAAACACTATTAGATGTTCCTTAATTAGAAGATGGACCACCTTCTATAAAGAGGCACCTGTTTGCCTCTAGTCATCTTCCCAGAATGAACAGATGTGGGAAAGAATTGGGTGTTCTTGAAAGTACACTTCAGTGGTTGAACAGCACAATTTTTGGTTGAATTCTCAGGAATTGATTATTAAAAGATTGGAATATGGCAGAGCTGCAAGGCAGACACAGAAGTCCCTCAGCAATGTAGAAAAATCACTGGTTTAGAGAAAGTATTTCTTGGAACTTTTGACTTTGTTTTCAGCTTCAGATTGTTTTTTAAACACATCTAAAAGGGCTCCCATTGCATGCTAGAAGGACATTGCTGATTTACAAGTCTAAAAAAGGAATTTTGTATTATTGAGTTTAATGGCTAGAATAGAAAACTGGTTCACTTTTCAGAACATGAAAAATCCCCTTTCAATAGAGCAAAACAGAATGTGAAAACTGATAAATAAGAATTTATCAAAGTCATAGTTTACAATTTGAAATGCTGTTTGTTTACTGTATTTATATTTTTGTCTTTCTATTCATTTGGTAATCAAGCTGGTACTTAACATCTTGCATGCTGGAACTGAGATACCAATGTGGGAATAACATGAAAGAAGGTTCATTATAAATAAAATAAAGTCTTGCTCCTCTCTTTTGAATAGACATTCCTATTCTAGACTGAAAAATAGACATGTTGAGATTAAAACTGCCAGAATTCCCAGCCAACATGGGCTAGTAATCCTCACATCTGGAAGGTGCCAGGTTGGAGAAAGCTGTTGTAAGATAGACAAATAGACATACACATATACGTATACATACATACATACATACACGTACACAAATGATGGTGATTGGGAAGAACTCAATTCCTTCTGAGAGTATTGTAGCACCTAAAACATTGGCAGAAGGTTTTGCTTCTCAGGATTGTTTTGTGAAAGCTCAGACATAATGCATGGAGTCATCAAAATGCTAATGTCATTGGCACAACTAAATGTTAATACAATTAAGTTCTGATCATGTTCACTGGGAATAATGGAAATGGAAGTCCAAAAACATCTGGAGATCGCAAGTTGAATAGGCCATTCTAAACAAGAGATAAAGATCTGCTTTGTATATCATGCTAAGTCATATTTGATTAGTCATGGTGTACTGAAAAAGCCCATACTGGCTGGGTTCAACAGTATAGCAAGCCATAAAGTATGGTTTATGAAAAACAATGGTTGGAATAAAACACTGTGCTAAACCTAAACCAAACAAGGCATATTATGTTTTATCATAAATTTTCATTCACCGAATACTCCTTTTTATCTCTCAAACACATGATTAAAGAAAACCTGGTTTAGTATGCTGTGTGAAGCCAACTGACATGTAAACTGCAGAGAGCCAAAAGACCTGTAAGAAAATATTTTGTTGCCAAAATAACCACGGTGAAACAGTCTACTGAACCCATAGAGCTGTATTCTATAGTTATCACATTTGTGGGAGGTTCTTTCTAGCCAGGAACAAGCAACAGTTGCTTAAGACAATCATTTCTAGCTATCACACTGCCACAGTTGAAAAGATTAGACAAATATGGACTCAACAGTTAAACAGTGATACCTGGAAAAATTACAATCTTTTGTGACCAGTGTCTTTCGTCTTTCGTCTTTCGTCCTTCTCCTTCTCCTCCTCCTCCTTCTTCTTCTTCTTCTATAAAGCATCAGGATGGTTCCAAGAAAGGTGATAGCAACTCTTCTGCTCCTCTACATGATAGCCATGCTGGCTAAAGAGAGTGAAGGGTACCTTGCCTTCTATAGTCGTGAAGATTTCAGAAGAATGCAGGTGAGCTTGTTGAGAAATGTGTCAATGACTGGAAATTATATAGCTGAATGTGACAGAGCTTCAAATCCAGTTCCAGTTCCAGGGATCTCTGAAATATGAAACAAAACAAACAAGCAAGCAAACAAAACCCCACCACCCTTTTTCTGTCCAGAACTCCAGAGATCAGCAGTTAGTCAGTTTAGACAATACAGCGCTAAATAGACCAATGTCTGACTTCGAGTAAGAAACCTTCCTATGTTCCAGTGATTGGATTCCTCTGCAGTTCTTCTTATCCTATCTATTCACCATTTTACTGCATTATTTTTCCTCCTCTAGCAATGTTTTATTACCATTTTGTTCCCTAATCATTGGAAACCAGCTAGACTCTAGGGTTGGAATTTGGCTTTGAGGTTAATAATTTAGATTTGTTTCCTGCCTTAAAATGCCACTGAAGTAGAACAGTTGTCTAGTTCTTAAAGAGTTATGATAATTCAGGTCTCGGCATTGTTGGGCTCAGTCTCCGAGGCAGCTGTCACACCATCCAAATGAACCCATGTGCATTATCAAATGAATTCAAAGGAGACAAGATAATAAGAATTCCTTTAAGCTGAAATTGCTGAAAAATTGAGCATACCACTGTCCATACTCTGAGAGAAAAGCTTAATTTACTTTCTCAGAAATGCCTATTAGCATATATAAGAATTGTAGCTTTGCATGCATGTATGATGCCATAACTAAAGCAGGGTACACAAACCACAGGGCTTTATTCAGTCTTCCAAAACCTGGGATGTGACCCTCACAGTGTCTTCAAAAGATTCAAGGGAATTTCATTTTTAATGTGACAGAAGGAAAAAAGTATAGTTGCTCCACATAAATATATTATTCAAGCATGCATTTTTTTTCATGGATCAACATGGCTAGGAGTGTTTTTTTTCACCGTATTAATAGCACTTCATTAGTCTAATTTAATTAACTTATGTCCTGGTTTCACCACCTTCAATTTCCTGGCCTTCTCTACTGTTTGGAGTGTGGCCTCTGCATGAAAAAGTTTCCTCATACTAGTCAGACATGCTCCATAGAAGCTCAGCAGTCATTCGATGTATAAGAAAAGATCTAAAAGCCCAGTAGTTAGTTGTGAGTTGCATCTAATCCCACCATAACATAATGAAGATTATGTGAACTAAAGCACTTCCAGTGTTTTAGATACTATTGATCTGGTAAAAGAGAGAACACCAAAGAATCTGCAGCGCAGGAATATCTAACATACAGCATTTACCAAGTTGGTGCCCCCCCAATGTATGGCTCTTTAATTTTTGTCATATCAACTGGAATTATGGAAGCTGATGCCTAACTTACCTGTAGGACATCAATTTGTGAAAGCTGATTTAATATGTGGAAAATGAAATAAAACTAAGCTCTATAATTTTATGCAATAATAAATAGATTCCAGTATGTCCTGTAGATCATATTCCTGAATACGCAAGCAAGGAATCTGAATGTAAAAATAGTTTTTAAACACATGCTGTTAAGGGAACTGTCTATTGACAACTGTGTCACCTACGTAACTTCGTTTGAGATGACAATATAACTATTCTGGCTTTTCTGTCATTATCCACCCAAAAGGTGGGATACTTGATCATTGTATTCTTCCATACTTCTCTAGGAGAAAGAGAAGAACCCAACACAGAAGAAATCGCTTGATGCAAGAGATTTTTTTGAATTTGCAGAAGATGAAGGGCAAGTAATCAAGGTACACTATTCTTTGGATTATGACAATTTAGCAGGCAGATACAGCAAGACAATTTCTCTAAAGTACCCATCAGTATATCAGCCTGGCTTACATAGACAGAAAGTTAATGAAAGCCAAATTTATTGCATTATTCAGCAAAACCTGACTCCTGTTTTATCCTTTTGTGCACCACTTGATATCCTATAGGTTTCCAAAAACAGCTGATAAAAGTTTCCATGTGATTCAAATACTGTTATTATTATAAACTATTCTATCCTCTAAAATGAAATATACTTGAGCTGATTGAAAGAAAGGTTATCATAAATCACTAGTCAAATGTGAATGTTCATTTCCTCCCTTTTGAGCTCATATGAAGTTCAGTTCATTTGACTTAGATTTTAGTACTGATGAGTTCAAGTAATCAGAGACAGAGAAGTCTACTTCCCCCATTAACCAGAGAGAGGGGGGAAATGTTCATTTAAAGCAATACTGAATAATCCAGTTAATAAGGTGCCCAACACCTGGCAACAATATGGAGAAATACCCCCATCTTGACCAGTCCTCAGCTATGATCCACAGCTCTTCCAAGGACATTCCAGTGATCTCTTTGGTCCTGTCCATCCACTGTCTTCCCCTTCTACATCCCTCTATCTTGCCAACCATTATAGTTTTTTTCTAGTCCATCATCTGCTCATATCTCATGATCCAAGTATGTGATTCACTGATCTTTGTCTCAGAGGAGCAGCCAGTCTTTATGTGGTCCAGAAGTAAGTGATTTGTTACTGTTGTCCATTTTATTGTCTCCAAATTCATAATTTGAAGACTCCTATCCTCTTTCTCTCACTCTTTCTCAGTGTGCAGCTTTCACAGAGACATCACCACTGGAGAAACCATAACATCAACTATTCTGATCTGTGTGGTCATAGGAACATCTTTATCCTTCATGATGTTGTCTAACATTGTCACTGCTTTCCCCTTAGGATTAACAGTTTCCATCTTTAACTATTCTTCAGCCCAAGAAAGCTATCTACCTGTCACATCTCCTTAATGGCAGGAAAATCCTAGCCTAACTTGAAGGAATTATCTAGACAGGATAGCAAAAATGCAGAGAATGTAAACATCCAACTGTCTCGAAAGGGCAAGAGGAGGGTGAATGAATAAAGGAAACCCAAGACTTCTCTTTCTGGAGTCAGGGAGTGCTGAAGAGTAAAAAGAATTGAAGTATGGACGGGATATAAATTCTGTACCATCTCTCTCACCTGCTCAGAGACTGTCATCTGCCTGATGTGACTTGCATATCCTATATAAAATAAGTGAATTCTTAGCAAATGATCCTTGTCTCTATAGTCACCACTACTTTCATTGACACTACCACCTTCACTGTCAACTGTGAATGCACCAAACATGTCAGTTGACATTACTCTTGTCTTCTTAATATTACTATCAACCCAAATGTTTTTCATTTTTACTTTCAACTTGAGCTCTTTTAAATCTCTCTACTTTCAGCTATAGAGCCAGTTTGGTGTAGTGGTTAAAGCACCAGGCTAGAAACCAGGGACTGTGAGTTCTAGTCCCACCATGGGCGTGAAACCAGCTGCATGCCCTTGGGCCAGTCACTTTCTCTCTCAGCCCTAGGAAGCAGGTAATAGCAAACTGCTTCCAAAATCTTGCCAAGAAAACTGTAGGGGCTTGTCCAGGCAGTCGTCAGGAGTCAACACTGACTCGAAGGAACATGCACACACACACACACACACTTTCAGCTAAGAAAGGTGTGTCATCTGAAATAATTCATTTGACCTTTCATTTTAATTCCTGTTATCATCTCATTCAGTTGTGCCATTTTATAATATATTTGCTATATATGCATCCTTGCCTCATTCGCTTCATTATTGTGAACCATTCTGTCTTCAAACTCAGTTCTTACAGGAGCTTCTAGTTCATTTTAAAGATTCTTCATAGTAATAATCATGTGTTCTGGCACACCCCTTAGCCATTCCTTATTCTGTATTATAACATGAGCTTTCAGTAAAATGCCTCACTGTATTCAAAAAAGCAAAGGTAAATCTGATTAAATTCTCTTCCTTTCTCCAGTATCCATCTTATGGATAATAATTTCCTCATGTCCTTTTCTAAAATCTGCTTTTTCATGTGGTATTTATCTCTCCCTGTCTGATTATTTGTACAATCTTAAGCAAAACATTGCTTGTGAGAGAAATTAGAACAATGGTTTGCTAATTTGCACATTCTGTTGTATCCCCATTATTCAGTGTGGGTATATACATCAGTCTTTCACAATCTCCAGCCAAACAGTCTTGTTCCATACTGAGCTTTAAACAGCCAAGTTGTTATTTCATCTACAGCAGGTGCTTTCCTATCTGACAGGTGATCTATTGCCTCTTGTACTTCAATTTCTAATGCAACAGGCTCAGGGATAGATTCTGTGTCTCCAACTGTTTCTATCATTCTCTAATCCTGTTTATAAAGGGTTTCAGTACTGATTTTCCATTTTCCTTTAATCTCATTTGTCTCTATTAAATCATTTCCCTGATTATTCTTAAATCGCTAATTTACCTTAGATTTTCCTTTTCTGGTTATTTTCCTCTATTAGTTAACATACTTTTAAAAATCATTCTTATTGAAATTTTTAAAAAAACAATAAAAGACAATACAAACTAAACTCAGAAAGAAAAAGAAAAAGAAAGAGAGAATAGAAAGTGCAAAAAAGGAAGAAGAGGAAAAAATAAGAAAAAGAGAAAAGAAATATTTAAAGTGAATTCTGATCTTCATCAGAAGTACAAACTTAGTCATTCTTCACCCCCTATAAGGTTACAATTAGTTAACATTCTTGCTTGAAATACCTTTCCTTGTCCTTTCTTGCTCAATTGTGAAAGTTTGTGTTTAGTCATCTTATGATCTCTTTGTTTGCCCATGACTTTCATCCTCTATCTTTCTCTGGGCATCACAATAGCTTTTTCTGAAAGTCGTTTAGATTTTTTTTCTTCTTTGAAATCTGGAGACTTTATTTTTCGATTTGAATTTTCACAGCGTCTCTTCCCTCTTCCCATAGCTCCTTGAGTTCTCTTTCACATAAGTTATTAAATCTATTCCTTACTTTAATCTTATATTCTGACTGTTTGTCCTCCATGTCAAATCTTTCTTGCACATCAACTCTCTTTAATTTTCTATGTTTAATCTATATATTTGACACCAGAATGTCATGATCCTTTGCACAATCTGCATTTGGAAGTCTCCTGGCTGACTGGATTGCTTTTGTCCATCATCCATTTCTTATTATGTAGTCTATTTGATTTTAGTCTTATTCATCTGTGGATATCCAGATGTAGAATCTGCATTTATGTTGCTTGCAGCAGGTGTTGGCAATGAACAAAGAATTGTTTTGCAGAAATCTATTAAGCTATCTTCTCCATTACTTCATTTACCAATCTAAATTGTCATGTAATTCCAGGTTCCTCCATTTATCCAACTTGTGTATTCCAGTCACCCATTAATAGTGCTACATCCTTTTTTGATGTCCCATTTAGCACCTCTTGTAATTTGCCAAAGAATTCCTTGGTGCCTCATACCATTGCATCTGTAGTTAATATATATTCTTACATATGATCCTATAATTTTAAGTATCATTAACATCCCATTTCTTTTTTCAGTCCCATGCCCTGAATAGTATCATAAGTTATCACTCTGATCCATCTAAGTTCACTTCTTCCTCTTAGTATGCTTCATTTCTACTTCGTCAGTTTTGACTTTTCCTGGTTCATGAGTCTTACATTCCATGTTCCAATTCCCTTTCAGCACTGGCACCATCAAGAATCAGACTTTCTTGTGGTTTTTAATCTGGCCACATCATCACCTCCAGATTAATCCATGGAAGTGTGATGTTCCTCCCCAGTAACTAGAGGAGTACTTACAGCTAGGGGGTTTCATTGTCTTGTTCCCAACTTGTTCCAGTCATATCCATATGATGTTTTTGCAACGATGCATAAGTTTGCCTTCTTCCAAAATTGATTTTGAAATTCCTTCTTCTTAGAGAGTTGACTTCTCTCATACCCGCAGAGCTGCCATCACCTCCATTCCAGATTATCCTTAACTTTATCCCTTTCAATTGTGAGGAAACAATCTAAATGAAAAGAAAGAAAGAGAGAAAGAAAGAGAGAGAGAGAATCTAAACAATCTGGGAAATTCTGGCTAACTTTTCCTTCTATATTTATTTATAAGGC